TGTTAATGGCTATAACCAATTTATTCGTAAACATATGAATTTATCTTTGCATCGATGATCAATGATAAGAATCAAAGTTGAACTTGTCCCTTCAACTGGAAGCTACCTCCCATCGATTTGATTTCTTGCTTTCTGTTATTTCCTGTTATTTTCCTTATCTGCACAACCCCCCTACTTTGTTCACTTGGAAATAAATCCACCCAATCCTTGTGGAGATGACCTTGCTCATCACTATCTACAAATTATTTAATTTGAGCAAGACTATTTTTCATTGGTTGGATTCGACACTCACCAAATTTTGGCACCATTGCCGGGGATTGGTGTCCTAAGTAAATTTATTTCCTTTTGCTTGGTTTATGCCTCGTTCTTCTCGTGTAGGTGAACTCCACTACGATCCTGAGATTGAAAACATAGTTCACCGCTTGAGGAAAGAAGCCAAGCAACGTCGCAACCAATTAGCATCACTCCCAACTCCCGGAGTGAAGTCGGTTGCAGAGATCATTGAGCCATCTAACCATCCTGAAGAAGAAGTCATGGACAACAACGAAGAGAGAACTCTTAGAGAGCTAGCCGCACCGGATCTGCACCAACAACCTCTCTGCATCGAATATGCAGATCTAGTGGTACCGTTCGAACTCAAATCTGGTCTTATACACTTCCTTCTTTTCGTGGACTTTCAGTGAAGATCCCTACAAACACTTAAAAGAATTTCATGTAGTATGCTTAAGCATGAAACCTCAAGGTGTTACCGAGGAACAGATCAAGTTGTGTTCCTTTCCTTTCTCATTAGCTGATAAAGCTAAGTATTGGCTTTACTACTTACCCTCCGGTTCTATCACCACATGGAATGATATGAAAAAGCAATTTCTTGAAAAGTTCTTCCCTGCCTCCCAAGATGCTAACATTAGAAAGGAGATCTGTGGTATAAGACAATTCAGTGGGGAAACTCTACGAATACTGGGAGAGATTTAAGCAACTCCGTGCCAGTTGTCCGCAACATCAGATTCTAGACTAGCTCCTTATCCAATATTTCTATGAAGGGTTATTGCCGATGGATAGGAGTATGATTGATGCAGCAAGCGAAGGTGTGTTGGTGAACAAAACTCCTACCCAAGCAAGAGAATTGATCTCAAACATGGCGGCCAACTCTCAACAGTTCGGCTATAGGCTCAACCCTCCAGCAAACCATGCTAATGAGGTAAACATCTCTTCCCTAGAACAACAAATTGCAAGTCTGACCTCTCTTGTCCGTCAAATGGATGTAGGTAATATGCAAATGGTGAAGGCTTGCGGGATTTGTTCAACTATGGGACATCCAACCGACATGTGCCCTACACTTCAAGATGAACCCTATGAACAAGCCAATGCTGTTGGAGGCTTCCCACAAAAGAGATACAATCCCTACTCAAATACCTACAATGCAGGATGGAGGGATCATCCTAACCTTAGCTACGGAGCCAAGCCCTTCGGCTTCCAACAACAATATCAGTCTAGACCACCGGCTCCACAATATTTATCGTCTAACCCATGTATGTCTCTAGATGAAATTGTTAAAGCACTTGCAACTAACACTCAACAATTTCAATAGGAGTCAAGGACAAGCATCCGAAACATGGAGAATCAGGTCAGCCAATTGGCAACTGCTATGAGTCGAATGAAATCTCAAGTATCAAGAAGGCTACCTTCCCAGACCATGGTCAACCCGAAGAAGAATGTTAGTGTGATCACCTTGAGAAGCGGAAAGGAGCTTAATAGACCTAGCAAGGAAGTGCCTAAGAATACAACTGAAGAGGAAATAGAAAAGGAAGCACTACCACCCCAAACTCAAGATCCAAGTGGTAAAAAGCCCCAAGCCATAGTGATCCCTCCACCTTTTCCTAGTCGATTTGCAAAATCCAAGAAGGAGGAGCAAGACAAGGATGTTCTTGAGACATTCCGCAAGGTTGAGGTAAATATCCCCCTCCTTGATGCAATGAAGCAAGTACCCCGCTATGCTAAATTCCTCAAGGAGTTGTGCACCACTAAAAAGAAGCTGAAAGGTGATGAGAAAGTCCACATAGGGGAAAATGTTTCAGCAATCCTCCAAAAGGAATTACCTCCTAAATGCAAGGATCCAACACAAGAAGTTTTTGATCTTGATTGGAAGGATGTATTCAAAATCACCATTAGTAAGCATCCTGAGAAAGAGAAGTTACAACAGTCAGGTAATGCTCCTTATATTATGTTGTCGATTCCTAACAAGAAACCTGTACCTTCTGCAACTACAAGACCTGGAGGATCCAGTTTATGATTAAAAACAGAGAAGTTTGTTTTTCCTTTTTTTCTTGTTTTTTGCATTTGTATTTAAGTTATTTCCACCTTTTTCTTTTTACCTTACATTGAAGACAATATGTAGACTAAGTGTAGGGGGGGGAGAGTATAGGATTTTATTTCAGTTCAATATATATATATATATATCAAATCCTCAACTCTTTTGAAATCAATTGAAGCAATATTTTGGGAAAATTCTTGTGGACCTAGTAATGAGGTACAATTAAGGAGTACATACTTATCTGAAGCCATTTCTAGTTAAGATAGTCCTAAACTCAGGTTTAAGTAAATAGGGTAATTACTTCACCATTGCCACAATTGGTAGGATGGAGCATAAAATTCACCTACCGGTCAAGTAATCCGATGGTAGGATGGAGCATAAAATGCACTTACCGGCCAAGTCATCCGATGGTAGGATGGAGCATAAAATGCACCTACCAGCCAAGTCAACTGATAGTAAGACGGAGCATAAAATGCACTTACTGGCCGAATAACCCAAAAGTGAGATGGAGCATAAAATGCACTCACTTCTTCAGAGGAGAAAAGAGAAAATAAAAAGTGAGAGAAGATAAAGAGGTTTCTCCTGATTTACTACTTGGTTTGCAGTAGCAAAAATTGGATTGACTGATGAATGAGTCGTGTATGACTTGGTTGTGTTGATTTAACGGTTTGCAATAGTTAACCTAGAATATTTGTGGAGAAAGATGAAGGAGAGTTGAGTTTAAAGATTGGTAGGATAGTTAGTCTATTCTTGTTTTATTTTTGCTTGAATTTTATCTTGCCCGAGGATGGGCAAGGTTCAAGTGTGGGGGGATTTGATGAGGATAAAAATATGATAATTTTTATCCCTCAATATTCAGTCTTTTATACTTAATTAGTACTTAATTGGAATCACTATTCTTGTATTTTGATTTAGGGCACAAAAGAAGGCGTTAGGAGAAAAACAAGGCTAATCGGGTAATTTTACACAGTTTCGGCACCGCGAGATAATTTGGGCATAACTCTCCCATCCAGACTCCGATTGAGAAGATTAAATATGTATTGGAAAGATAAGGAAAAACTCTACAACTTTCATATTTTGAGTTTTGATAGATTCATACTACAGTGATGTCAAACTCGAGCCCGAAGTCTAAGAAAATTGGTAGAGAAGCCCAGTTCGCAGCTGAAGCCCATTTCACAGCTGAAGCCCAGTTCGCAGAGAAGCCTTGCGGCGGCCCAATTCGTTAAAGAAGCCCAATATGAATGCAAGAATAA